GACTTTTCCTGGATTCTCAAAAGAAGCTACAATGTGAGTGACTGCCGTGGGCGGCATCCATGTTCCTCATGAAGGCGGCATTTAACATAAGTTAGCGGCGATGTTTTACTGCGCTATGATTCCTCATGTTCAACTACAGTGAGCGGAGTTAGGCCAGATTTAAGTGCTCCCAAGGACTTAATTTAATTTTTCAGATGCTTTCTTGATCATTAAGTGTGGACCTATTGATAGTGTAGCTAATTTCATTTGAAACCACATAATTTCTGTTTAGGATACGTTCTTTGCGTATTGAATGCCAGTATTTTGGAGACCAGGTAAAATATTATTTAATATATGAAATTTTTTATAATGATGGTTATATTATAATTTCTAAGTTACTGATATTTTTAAAATTTATTCATTGTGTTTTTATTTTTTTATATATTGTTAATAAATTGGTTAAGTTTGAAACCTTTTATTGTTTTCAATGTCTGCACAACACATAACCTTAGGGAGCTTTTATTGCTACTACTGCTAAATGTTTAATTTCATAAACTTTAAACTTTGCTTTTGCATCCATTTTAATTTCGCATTTGTTTCGCAGATCAGAAGGTGCTGCGACCGCGTGTCCTTGCCTATTCTCTCCTCTTCGTTCACCCTTCTTTTAGTCGTCTGCTGGATTTCGAGGAGTTAATGCGAGTCTGCAGATTTACTATTTGTATTCCAGAAATACGCGCAACAGTTGAAGTTTTTGTTATATCTAATTTCCTTTTTTATTATAGAAAATCTTTATTCTTTTACATCTAAATCTTATGATTTTGTATAATTTGTGGGCATAATTACTTTTAATGATAGAATAGAAACACTGTATGCGTCACATACGCTCGACCATGTAGGATATTTTTGTTCTTTTCTTTTCAGCTACGGCGAATAAAAGTAAAATGCTCGACATGAATGATCCGAAGGATCTTGAGATTATAAGAAATATGTTTTTATGTAACAGTGATAACGATGAGGACATTATTTTAGATGAAAGCATCACAGATGAAGAAGAGCGAATTTCAGAAAAAGGTGATTCAGAATCTAGATAGAAGTGCAGAGAGCAATTCTGAAGAGGGACATAATGCGATGATAATTCTTCCGAAGTTGTATATAGCTTATCAAATGAAAAACAGAAAAATCATCCATTCTTGGACATAACATAAAAAGAAAACTAAACGAGTGCCTCATTAACATATGTGTTCATGTTTCTGGAGTCATCGGTGAAACTAAATATCTAACAGACATTTTGGATATATGGAAATGCCTCTTTACTGATAGTTTGATAGAAATCATCGCTGAAAGATATGAATAATTTATTTTCTTCTGTGAAGTCTAATTATTCTCGTATAAGGGACAGCAGAGAAACGGATGGAGCAGAAATAAACTCTTTTTGGCTTACTTTACTTAGTTGGTATTTATCATGGTAACATAATTCTGGAATCTTGAGGAACTGTGGAGAATGAATGAATTTAAAAGTAGTAAAAGTAGTAATGAACTTTGTTTTTGTTTTTTGAACTTTGTTTTTGTTTGTTTGAATTTTTGTTTTTACTAAGAGCTTTACGGCTTGATGACATAAACACAAGAGCAGAACGAAGAGGAGTCAACCACTTGGCTTCAATAAGAAACATTTTTGAAAAGTTTGTCTCTAATTGCCAGAAGTGCTATTCACTTGGAGAGAATGTCACCACCAATGAGAAATTAGAAGGATTTTGAGGAAGATGTGGTTTCATTCAATACATTCCCAAAAAACTGAACAAATATGGCATAAAAATTTATGCCATGGTAGATGCTTGTATATTTTACACATACAATATGGACATTTATGCTGAAGCACAGCCAGATGGTCTTTTTACGTGAGCAACAAACCACAAGATGTTGTAAAAAGGTTGACAGAACCTATTGATAACACTGGAAGAAATGTAACCTCAGACAACTGGTTTTCAAGTTTTGAGTTAATACGAGAAATAGATGAGAAAAATTGTCATTTGTAGGTACTTTGAAAAACAATAAATCTCAAATTCCGGATCAGTTCAAGCTGACGAAAACTCGCGAACCCAATACGAGTCTTTTTGGATTTAGAAAAAATATGACGCTTCTCTATGTGCCCAAATGTTATAGAAACGTCATATTGATTTCAAATCTTCATGATGACATAGCAATAGATGAAAATACCCAAGACCAAAGAAAGCCTGAGATTATCACATTTTACAATCGTACCAAAGGAGGTGTGGATACAGTGGATAAACTCTGTGCTTCCTACAATGTTGCCAGGAACACCAGGCGTTGGCCTCTTGTAGTTTTCTTCTCTATGCTGAATATAGCAGCAATCAACAGCTACATAATTCATTCAACGAATAATAGTGAAAAATTACTTAGAAGGTAATATCTGCGAAAGCTAGCAAATGCTCTTGTGAAGGAAAACGTTGAAAGAAGCCGTAACTCTCTTCAAAGTGAGCTGGAATTTAAATTGTTGAAACGAAAAGCAGAATTAGCTGTTGTTGAAGAAATGAAAAAAAAGGGAAAAAAGATGCAAACCCTGCCAAAATGACAAGCATACTAGAATTGCGAGGTTCAGCTGTGAGATTTGTTTAAAATTCATTTGTCCAGAGCACTGTAAACATATTTGTTCAGACTGCACCGATGCAATGAAGTGACTATGAAATTGATTTGTTATGTAATATTTAATGTGTTTTTCACTTACTGATTAAAAATATAAAAGTTCAGTTGAAATATCTGGCAGTTTAATTTTGTTTTACTTTCAAGTTAGTTTTTTTTTGGTAAGTCTTTAGTCCCATTTTATATTGTTTGTTTTGCTTTATAACTTACTTTATTTTTCTTAATTTAAAGTTAATATTGTTGAACTCAATTGCACTTATTAACATTTAACTATTTACAAACTAATTTTAATATTTTTGCTCTGGAAAATTTCTTTTTTATAATAGCGTATCTAAGAAATACGCGCAACCTTTCTTGTTGGTGCAGAAGGCGTGCCCGCTGGAAGGTTAATGATGTGCTGATTCCAACATACTTCATAAAATTTGATGTTAAGTTCTTGTACTTCAAAATCGGATACATATTACCTCAACTATTAACAAGTTGGTAACCACAAGCATAAAATTTCTTATATTCAAATGTAACAAAATACAACGAAAACTATATAAATTTATTACAATAGCACATGTACAATTTGAATAAGAGAATGAATAAGCGAGAAATACACATTCTAGCATATTTAACATGCATTTCCACAGATTAGACAAGGTATTTATGATTTTAGCACATCCGTGCCCTATAAGACGACCCCCAAACTATCAATGGCCTATGAATTTAGTTTAGATCAGCGATCATCATCAGGAACAAAATTTATATTTATTTTCTTACATCTGGCAATACTGCCCACAGAAGCATGTGCTGAGCATGAGTTCATATGTACCTCTAACACGTTTTACTGTAGGTTGTGTTATGTGTTCAAACAATTCGTGCTATAAAGGGTAATCAGCGTAAAATTTGTAAAGTGTGAGTTTAATCAAGGAACCAACGAAAAGAAGGAAATATGAAGTAAGCTTTAACTTGAAAAAGAAACACGCTAATGAATCAGACAACTGTGCTGCAGCATGGGCTTTCAATATAACAATGGTAAGAGAATGAAGGAAGAACAAAGATGCTATTAAAAAAAGCAATGAAAAAAAATGTTCCGTGAAGAGAGAAATAGCTTGCTGGCCAGATTTAGAAAATAATGCTATAGAATGGGTAAAAGAAGAGAGGCAACACTGTTATGCTGTTACAAGAAATATAATACGGTTTATGCACTGAAGTGGGCACACATCAATCCAGAACAAGGCAAATAAATAATTTAAAGCAACAGTAGGTTGGTGCAATCATAACATGAACATTAAAAAAAAATATGACAAAAAACTGCACAGAAATTGCAACAATACATGGATCATAAAGTCACAAGTTTTCACAATTTCTTTATTGATATGAGGCAAACACACAACTTTCCATTATCTAATATTAGAAAATACACATGAAACACCGATGAACTTGAACTTGATAAACAACAGAACTGTGGAAACAAATGGCAAAGAAACTGATCACATCAGAAGTACAGACCATGAAAAGATCAGATTTACAGTAGTATTAATATGCATGGCAGATGGAACAAAGTTAAAACCTACAATAATTTTCAAGAGAACTACGAAAATAAAATTCCAGTCAGGCATTTTCATGAAAAGGGATGGACGCACAAGAATGATGTGTGGAAGAGGCAACCAGGTACTCTACAACATCAACAGCCTGCTGGTATGGAATCCGTTTTGCAGCTACATAACTGAGAATATTAAAATTCGCTTAGCATGGAACAATACTATTGATGTTACACTAGATGGTTTAACTTCAATGCTATAAATTTTCGATGTCTCTGAATAAATCATTCAAAGATCACATGTGGAACAATCTTCATGAGTAAACAATGGAATAACTGGATGACAGGTAACAAAATGTCATATATGAAAGGTGGAGTTATGCAGGCTGTGTCACTTAATGTGTTATGCGATTTCCCGTTAAAATAATTGGAAAAAGTGAAAGTGGAAACAGTGGTTAAATCCTTCAAAAAGTGGGATTTCTAATGCTATGGATGGCAGTGAGTAAGATTTGTTGTGGGATACTTACGATGAAGAGGAAATTGACTCATTGAGTACAGAATGAGACCCATATGAAGAGCTTCTCAACAACGAATGTCAGGATGTACTTGAGGAGCTATTTGCCTTAGATGATAAATATGAGGTTTTTGCAGACTATTAAATCATTCATGAGTGCTTTGTCTTATTTTTTAACGATTTTAATGTATATAAATTTCAATCTAATTTTTTTTTCATCCGTCCTTTAGGCAACCCCAGATTTTGGGTTTTTTTTTTTTTTTTATGATTCTACTATTGTTTTACCTGAGGAAATATACAGTACATTATAAGGATCAAGTCTAACTGTAAACTTTTAGGATTGGTAGGGAAAAATTACCATTCTGTTGCAGCTTTGCTAAGATCCAGTTGTGACAGCTCAATAACTGCTTTACCAAGAATTTTACCTCTTGGGAACATCATGGAGCCACTTTTTGAAATTACTGTCACTTCAAGAGCATAGTTTGAAACTTCAGACATATTGACATCAAATTCAAGACTAGAATTAAGATTAGTAACAATTAATACATTATGTTATTTATAATTCAAACATTTTTAACTATGCACAAAATTAAAATCTATTAACAGTACAGGTGCCTTGGATAAAGATCGAAATTACACTGTGTTATTGAAATTTCTTCCCTTTTAAAAAGACAAATCAGAATAAGTTTTTCATATTTTCTGAAACTGTGCTAATGCTTTTTAAATGAATCAGCCAAAGTAAATAAGTTCACTTTAACATATACAGGGTAAATCTGAAAAAGTGGGCAAAACTTTACAGGGTGATAGAATGCAACTATGTGAGCAATATTCATCAGAGAATGTATGGTCGCAAAGCAAGTGGTAAAAGGTAAGTTTCTCATTGTCACATTTTAAAAATTCATACAAGAATGAGAATAGATATTTCAGACAACATTTTATTAACAAGAATGTAATTGATGTACATGTTCAAAGAAATTGCTCAAAAGACATTCTGCCTCTGTAATGCAGGCTTCACACCTGCACTACAGGGACTTACACACATTTGCAAAGACACCTGGTCTTTGAGTATAATCAGCAACAACAGCGATCCTGGCGACTAGATCCATACTGGTTTCAACAGGAATGGTTTTTCATATGGTCCCATAGGAAAAAGTCCAAACACGAGAGATCTGGTGATCTTGATAGCCAAGCTATGGGTCCCCCCCTCGACCAATCCACTGCCCTGGAAATTTCAGGGATCATATAATCAGCCATCCTCTTGGCAATCCATGGTGGGAAATCCTATTGGGTGTAAGCATTGATACTTTTTATGCACTTACGATGTGACCTAGAGCCTTGCCTTTTGAATTGCACCCAAACTTTCTATGACGAATATTGCTTGTATAGCTGCATTCTATCACCCTGTAAAGTTTCGCCCACCTTTTTCAAATTCACACTGTATTTGAAAAGGAAGAGCAATTAACAATAAATGATAAATAAAATTTACTCCCTAATTTCATAGTTAATTATATTACATAATCTTAGCACTCTCCTACATGAAGAAATATATGGAATCATAAAAAGACGTAAATCTGAAAATGAAACTAAATTCTAAAACGTTAAATAAGTTATACACGTTTTGATTTAAAAATTCTTAGTTAAAACATATCATTACAAAATTTCAAAAAGATTTTGGGAATACTGGTGGGAAACGTAAGAAAAGCACCTATTTCTTTCACTAGGGAGCTTTCCATTAAATTTCAACTACTATTTTTCAACAGTTCTGTATATAAAGCAAGTTTCAATTTAAAGCAAAATTCTGACTAAAATTATTAAAATTAAAGCAATTTCAGCATGGATTCAAATGTGAAGCTTTAGTACTGGCAATCAGATACATTAGAATAAAATAGCTCTTAAGAAATTATCTTAACCGTTTAGTGGTTGCGAGATTATGCAATTATTTCTTCCCAAATACGCATGATATCTGTCAGTCACAGTAGGAACAAATGGCACTTGTTTTCTCCCTAGATGCTTTGTTAAATATCATTATATATGAATGTGAAAAATATAGACCATTTTGAAGAAATTTATAGAAAGTTAGTATTTTATACGGATACTTAAGAAAATAATAAAAATGTTATGCTCTAAGGAATAATAAATTTATTAAAAATTATACTTTGTTAGTTTCAGTCTAGTTTCAAATTATTAATAAGTCAATATAATAATGTTTTAGTACTGAACATTTAAAACATAACAAGACATGACAGATAATTAATTTACAAATCAATATGGCATATAATATTGTAATGATCAAAATTTTAATATATATACATACAGTAAAAAGTCCGAAATCCGGATGTCCATTATCCGGAATGATCTAAAAATCTGGACCTCAAAACAACCAACAAAATTTTTCTCATAGGCTTTATGCATGCGCATTTGATTTACTCCTCCACACATAATAAAACATCTGGAGAGTCCCGATTCTTAATTTCACTTCGACACTAAATAAAATACCTTGTTACTGAAGAAACAATCATTTTAGCATAAATTTGTATGATCAGTAATTTGACTCCATTGATGCGTATTTGCTTGGCACACATCCTCAAACTGAAACATACCACATAGATACATCGTTGATCTGATGAGGCGAATCATTATTTATTATACTTTTCCTTTCATTACCGCATGTTTATCAACACATGACAACTTGAGTAATGACTCATGTAGCAATGCCTAAACAATTTTTTTATGTTAGCATTTGAATAATAAAGGAGCGTGGTAGCCATTTATGTTGACAGTACGCTTGGCAATGATTACACATTTCAGTTAAATGCGCTAAAAATATTGATGAGGAAGAATTTCCCAAATATTTCTTTCCCTATGCTAAAAATAGATTTTGTTGATGATACTCATAGACCTAAAGATTACATTTAGGGCTTGAATTAACAACAACTGATTTGTTATTCGCATTAACCCAGAACCAGTGCCAGGGCTCGTACGGGTGTGCTGAGTCGCAGAATTCAGGACCCACAGACACCGCATCAGGCGGTAAGATATCTAGCGCCGGCCCTCAATAAAGCTTAAGTATATGTGGGAATTTATTTATTCAGAACTCAAGCCTTAAGCATGTGCAAGAAATAGACATAAGTATAATAAATAACTAAACTAATACAATTCAGGCTTATTTGTCTCAGTGTGCGATAGAAGCACGATAAAATTTAACAGAACAACTTTCGTTAGTCACCAAGCTCATGATGCATGGCCAAATGCATATAGTGAAGGATAGCGAAATTTGACAAAGACAGCCGCTAATTTTTCTAATATCGCAAAACAAAGGTGAAATTTTCGAGTTAAAGGGATTCTGTACAGAAATGTGAAGAAGCGGTAATAAATGAAGATGATATAAAAGAAGTTTTTCATTCTGTTGACAATGCTTCTCAATCACCAATCAATTAATGAATGGAGAAATCTGTAGTATGGTTCCAGATCCAGAAAATATCGTTACCAATAATGACGTAGGTGACACAGAAGTTATTGAAAAAGAGAAAATTTCGATTGACAAGTTAGTCAGAATCCTCGAAACAACAGTTACAGGACTTCAACAATGTAACTCAATAAGAGATTATCTTTGTCTACAGAATTAAAGAGAAAGTATTAGCACTAAAAGCAAAGTAACTTAAAACAACTTACATAGAAAGAAATGTTTAATAAGGTAAACAAATAAATATTAAGCTCTTTTTTTTTTGTAAATTTTGATACCCTTTAGATCATAAATACTTCATTATTTCATATTTTTAATTTTATAATTTCTACATGCCATCTTACTAGATTTAAAATGATGATCTATTATCCGGAAAAATTCCAAATCCGGAATCCCCGAAGAGTCTGAATTTCGGACTTTGTACTGTATATATTTAAGAACAAGTTTTTGGGAGGTAGACCGAGACATTAAATGATACACAGTGTGGCTTTCTTGAATCAGCTTTCAAAACAAAAATCTATATCCGAATATGAATAATTTTCACCTTCATAATCAGAGATTTTCACCTTCATAATCAGACTTTTCGTTAAAAAAATATGCTTTAGCTTTCTGCTTCATGCCATTTCTAGCTACAACACATATTCAAAATATAGTAATAAAATTCCTGAAAAAAAAAAAAAAAAAAACCCATCGGATTATTTTGAAGAATGAGCTCATTTTGTCTGCATGCATTGGGGCAAAAATCTAATTTACGAGTTGGACTCATTCGTTACCATTTAGGGAGACACTTAAAATTCAAGCTGTGTTTATGCCCATTGCAGTGTCTAACTGAAATGAGGGCAGAACTCGTTAAAAACCAGCAAAGGGTTAATGCTTCATATCGAACAGTCTTCTAAACAGAAAATGATGATGCAATTTCAAATAAGTTCTGGCTTTCCATCGTGAAAATTGATGATACCTTCAAAGGTACATTAGCATTATCCCTTTTAACTCAGAGATGTTTCCCTTTGTAAAAAAAAAGTTTAATCAATACAGAAAGCTATTACCAATCCAAAGCATAATACCTTGTATCTTCCAAATCACTGCACACTGCATCTGACAGTAAAAAAGCTTCAAGGGGAAGATCAAAAGAAGGGGAAGGATGTCTGAGTGCAGTCATTATACTGCAGGCTATGAATTCATGAAATAATTATAATGTGCACAGTGAATATGCAGTGTACAGTGATGAATTCTAATGATGCAAAATCCATTTATGTTCTATCAACAGAAGTTGTATGCATTATACATGATTTTGTATTCATGCAGTAAGCTGCATTTACAATCAGCTTTTCTACGATGAAGTAAAAGTGTACAATTCTAAGAATGTCAAAAGATAATGACTATGATTTTGAATCTGCATCTTTCACATTCTTATCATATAATATCTGACCTCCTCTAGTGACAAACATGGTCCACGCACAGGGAGACCTTCTCTAGTGGTTTCCCTGTGCAACATCCTCAGCAAAAAAGACAGCTAAATGATTGACCAATTCAGCTATTTCTGGCAAATGCATAACAAGTAAATGTTCGACCCTTGGGGGGGAAGAAGAAAGCTAAATTTTATTCTCCGTATCATGTCTTGTTATGGATTTAGTCCCTTTCACTTATTGTTTTTGACTTTATTTCAGTTTATTATTACTGTGGCGACCTGCCTACTACAACTCAATGGTAACTCATAGCAACGAAAAACAAAATAATGTTTATATGTTTTTACTGATCTGTTTTTGTTATCATAGTTGCTTGTCTCGCTATGCTTTATTTATTATTGTTCAAAACGGCTTATTATACAAATTAAATTATTTTTATTATATTATAAGCAGCATGTCATTATCTGTCTTAAAAACTGCACTACCAGAATTGGTGACCCAGATTTTTTATGAATAGCAAACTGCAATGTTACACGATTATGGAGTTTGTATGTCAAAATTGAGCAACAATAAGTTATCCAGTGTTATGAGATGCAAGTAAGACATTTCACTTGTGATTTCAAGCGTTGTGCCGCATTCTGGTGAGTT